CCCCCCCCCCCCCCCTCCCCTCCTATTGTGAGGCGCCGGTGGGAGTTCGGTCAACCCCCACCCCGTACACCAAGCTCAGTTCTATGATAAAAGGAATGATATGATTGAACGAGACTACTCTAAAAATTCTCGTTAGTGAACTCTAGGACCAATTTTCAACGTATTTGGGGAGCTTGGTTGTGAGGCCTCAATTTTTACTGGGGGTTGGGGTGAACAAATAAAATCATCAATTCCCCAATCGAACCGAAATCATAGTTCAAAAATTGTAAGTTTAGATTCACGTAGTTTAGGTTTCGATAATTAAAAATCATTTGAAATCAAACCAGAGCGTTCTTCCAATTTTAAAGAAAAAAGTTACTTGTATTACCCAAAAGATTTTTTTTATTAGATCAATATGCATGATCAAATTTACTTTTTAGTCGGCTTCCATTTAGTCTTTAGAAAAAATAATAATTTACATATGATAATATTTTTCTTATATAAAGGATGAAATTGCAACATTAAATTTCACGATTAAACTTAGTCCAATTTATTGATTTAAGCTTGTATTGAGATAAATATATTAGTATTGCAACATTTATGTTTAGAAGGTTTTAGTTTAAGTGTTACACTGAAGAGACCAATATAATTATTTTTTACATTTTTTAAAGATGTTTTAGCTCGTTAAAATCATGATTTGAAAACAAATCAAACTGCGAAAAAATGGTTTGGTTTGGAAAATGAAATGATTTGATTTGATTTGAAATTTTTTCAAACTGTTTAAATTTATTTGATTTGAAAATAGTTTAAATACCTTCCATATTGAACTGTGTTCACCCATAGCTAGCGGAGACACCGAAGTCCTTCCAATCCTTTGGAGGGGAATCTTGTGTTACAATTGAAGTTGAAGTAGCGTGAATTGTTCAAAAATCAAACTCAATTGTTTTATAAAAAGAAGATACCAACGAATTTATATGATATGGTTTCATAGAATTCTTGCAATTGTCGACTGGATTATGAGTTTATCTAAGAAAAACAATTTGTGTTTTTGGGTTAACTCACCCTTAACTAAAATTGAAAGTCGTGTTTATTAGGGGACATATGTCAAAATCTTATGGCACGAATTGACAATAGCCATGCATTACTTGCATCCACATTGTCAAAGTCACTCCTCACTTTCAAGAGGATTCACGAGCAGAAAATCAAAATTTACCTGGTCTATTTTTATTTTTTCAAAAAGTAGCTTTTTATCGTTAAATCTGCAATCATCGAGCAAAATGAAGGTTATTCAAGGTAGGCTCTATAGACAATGGAGATGGAATGACGGTTGGATGGTTATGAAACTCTCTTTAGAGATATACGAATAAATGCTGGTTCACACGTAAAATCTCTGTAATTTCATGGTATATGACCATTTCCATTTAGTTTAGAAATCCTTCGTTGTTAATGCGAGGTCCTGAGCATAAAATACTTGATGACAATTAAGCCTAATTATGGTCTCTTTTTACATTCAATGGCATTTTCAGGTTGAGTAAGTCTGTTTATAGGAGTAAAAAGTAGGTGATTAGGGTCCATTAAGTTGTACAAGTGTTATTATTCTTTACACCCAAACAACTATCCGAAAATTGACAAAACCTTACATTGGAAATGAAGTCGCTCAAGCAGCAGTTCTCTCCTTTTTGCATCAAATTGGCATGGTCGGCAGCCAATTTCGAGACCCAAATCCAATTTTTCTTCTCCAGTGTACTGATAACCTGTCAAGGAGGTACAAAAGTCGACCTTAGTGATTAAATGGTGCCGAGTTGCGGAAAATACCCTAGTTAATTCGCTGGCAAGAATATTTTATTTCTTCACTGCCCTCTGAGGCCATTTCATATAGGCAATTCCTGTAATTAGCGATTGCGAAAGTGTTCCAGCAGATCCAAATTTATAGTTTTATAACATTCCTCAACACCATGTATACACAAATTAGAATCTAATGAGAGCAGTGTACATCAAATGCAGCTTATGAAGAAAAAAATGAGAATGGGTACCCATCTCAAGTGAAACTACGATAGAGAATAATATGACTCCAGAATTTGTTCAATTATGCAGTATACTTCCCCTCCAAACTCAGATAACTAAATATTATCACCCTCCGGTCCAAGATTCTTATAAGCAGCAGCTTATTTTAGGGTGCTGTAACGATTCGTCCCATGCTTAGCCCAGTGATCTTTAAGATCTAGTGGAGTGGAAAAATCATAGCCATCTGCAGCAAGTCGATTAAGCAACTTGCCGAAAGCACTTCCACTCATCTTTCTACCACCAACTCTGGTGTAGCGTTTATTTGCCACCTGCGGTAATGGATACATTGAAATTGTTGTCGTGCAGCAGGCAGATTGCCATCCACCATTCCCCCACCTATAGCATGGCTGGGGTGAACCAGTGCAAGTGCAAACTGGCACTGGCATGGCAGACTCGTCAAAGTTAATTTGGTTCAAACCCAAGTTGTCCTTCCACGAAACCTGTTTGTCAAGATCGTCCTCATCACAATCAAAATCATGCCCATTACTCCAACTGTTAGATGCATCAGAGTTCACTTGCTTACTCAAACTTTCAGCCTCTCTTTTACCCACCCTTGGAGGCTTTTCTGATTTTCCTAGTTTGCCATCTTTTGGTTGCCTGACTTTCCTACGCTTGGCAGTTTCAGAAGCAGGTTCTGTAACATTAAAATCATTACTTCTTGTACTTCCTCTAGAAATATATGCCGCTTCATCCATGTGCATCTGCTGCTGGTAGTGAATGTGTTTTGATCCACTTGTAATTTCGTTTCCAAGCGAATTGGGGACAGTATTATCATTCATTGAGCTTTCCCGGAATTGCAGGGCAGCAATTGCCTCATCTCGATCTTGTATGGCAGCATTACGCTCGGCAATTGCTGCATCCCGCTGCAGCATTGCCATGTCTCGCTCTGCAAAGGCCCTCTTTCTCTCCTCCAATGCCATGTTCCTTTCTCGGATGGCAGCATCCCTCTCAGCCGTGATGGCCATAAAGGTCTTTATTGTCAAGTGATTGTGGTCCTTCCATTAATTAAAGCACATCATTAGATCCAGCAAACTGTTGTCTAGTCTAGATAGTACGTGACGGAAAACAAACCTCAGGTTAAACAAACAATGCAGAATAAAGCATGTTCATATAAATCTCTCCCCAGTTGGTTCACCTTTCGTATTTTCAAACAAGAATGGACACCACCAACACTAATTGATTTTAATATAATCTGTTGATGTCACAACCCCTTCTACCCCCACCACAAAAGGCATTCTGATGTAACGATTGGATTGTGACAAAAAATATATCAGCCTCTTAAGGCAAAAGGAAATATCAAAAGTATATAAGTAGGCAATTTAGATAGATTGAATTTAAGATTAGTACTAAAAGAATCAACATCATACCATCATTAGTAATAAAAGAGAAGCTAGAAATCCATTCTGTATGGCTCTGTTCCTGCACAGGTGAAAACATGTCATAAATCAAATAGAATAGATATATTAACGTAGTTCTTTGAATAAAACTATGCATATACCAGTACAGTATCAGTTGGATAAAACCAAAGAACACAGTTTTATCAAACATGTACTTGAAAAACAAAAATCTATCCTGCAAGGAGACCATATCACATGTATATTATCTAGTCATGCAAAATACCCCATTTTCATATCCTATTCAGAAATTAGACAAGAAAAGATTATTTAATCATTAGAAAGGAATCAAAGCAGCAGCAAAAAGAAAGCAATTTAACATTGACGGAAGTAGATGATGGATGGTACAGGTAAAACAAGACAGCACATCAGCACCATCCCGATTGGCTAAGAGCATGAGAACTCATAAAGACCCTAGTTCTGATCTTAGAAGATTAATGTAGTTTAACTCTGAGACCTTGACAACCTACGATCCTTCAGCAGGCCTAGACTATTACCAGAGGTTAGTTTCTTTTCTCTGTGTTTCGCTATTCTATAACAAAGAAAATTGTTAAGTCTCTATTTGTATTTGGCTATTCCTTAGAAAAAATTAAAAGTAATGGAATTGTAATTAAAGTCAAAATAGTTAAAGGTTGGTAATATAGTCCTTGGGGAGTCAAAGATGTCCAAGAAAATCAAATATAATCAATGAAATGCAATTAGAAGTCAAAAGAGGGTCAAAGTGTTGCTCAAAATTCTCAGTTACAAGTTGTGACGCATTTTTCACATAGAAAACATTCGAATTTGAAAAATACTATTTCTAGAAGAATTGTGGCCCTTTTAATTAACTTTCCAACGCACATTGAATCGTCTCAATCGGACATCAGGAAAGAAAGTTGTGACAAAAATACTGATCACTGCTCAACTAGCGCTCAAGTAGCGTGATTATTCGAGAAACAGTAAAATTCGATTTCCAAGCTGATTTTGAGATCATTTTCATCTCAACCACTACCTATTGTAGGTATTCAGCCCCATGAACATCCCAAGGTGTGTTGAATCATCATATTACCTTAGAAATCTCATTGTTGAAGATCATAAACACATTTCATTGATTCTATTGATTCAACCCCAAAATCTTTGTTCATATATTTGATCCCATAAATAAGTCAAGACTTTGTTCTTTGACAACCAAACACGTTCAATTATATCTTGCATCAGCCTACAAATCAAAGCGTAATAAGATCATTTGATCAAACACCAAAACAAAACCCTACCTTCGCCAATTAACTTTCAAAATTCTGGAGTTTTGGGAAAAGACACTTGGAGTTCCAGTGCTCGAGAACGAGGTTCGTTCTTGTTGATCCACACGGAGAGAAAAGTAGTTCAAAGTTCTGATAAGTGCACACGTGCACAACCAAATGAGTTCCTTTGTGATTTACAAGTTAGGTGACCAGATTGGGCTAAAGTTTAGCAATGTTTACTAATTGTAAGTTAATTTTCTAGTAGATTTTACTAGCAAGTTTGTCCCGAAGTTTTTTATCCAGTTAGGAATTTTCCTCCGTGATCATATTTGGAATTATTTATTTATTTGTCATTTTGATATGAATGTTTGTGATTGTTTGACCATAGGAATTAATTAAATTAACCATCTAGAAACAATTAATAAGCGACTCATTGCTTTTATTGGTTTAATTCAACATTAAGGTCTAAACTATTCACCTAATTTACTTTCAAAAATATTATTTTTTCCTCTCATTAGAATATTATGCTTCTCATAGTATGCTAGTCCCTTCCACTCTAACTTCCTGTTATCTACTTACAATGCAAGACAATTGAATGGAACCTCATTACAGAGCTGATAGTTCACATTTTGCAATATAATGTGTGCATTTGACATGCAAAAGATTATACCTGTTTGCAAGATTACATTGGTCAACAAAGTCACTATATGTATAACAATCCCTATTTTTTTTATTGGTCCAGCCCCATGTTATGCTGTCTCACTTGTTCAAGTGGGACACCTAAGGACAAATGAAAATGAAGGTAATATGAATGTATTCAAATGTGTGGCTCGTGGTATTGAGCTTCTTTCCAGTCAACATAAAACTGCTTCCCATAAATTATGTCCTATCACCAAAAATTTTGTTCAATACAGGTGGCATTTGGCGGCTTTGGAATAGGAATTAGTAAATATTTAAGATTTATGTCACAAAACCAAAAGAAAACGCATATTTCCGCAATACCGTGGCCCATGAGGGTCTCCTTTTAGGTTCTTTTTCTTGCCATGCTCTATAATAGGGTGTATGACATGAAGTTCACTTTTCAAGTTGTCCAATTTATCCTTTTGAGTATTACTCCAAACGATGTATATTAATCAAAGGCATAGATGCAAACCTTTCTTGATCCTGAAAAACCCACTATCGACTATACCACTCAGATAAATCTCCAGGACTAATTCCAAAGAAGAGAAATGACCACAAATCTCACAGTTCCTAACGTTTGTTGAATATAATTGAAACTAAGCTGGTATACACATATTGCTCATCAAGCAGGACCACATTCAGACTCAGCTCAAATTCACAGGAAAGATGAAGTCTATCAACAATAAAACACAACTTGACAATGAACGGTACCATGCTCTTCACAACACTCGGTCAATTTTCAATCTCTAGTCCCAGCCCCCAAGTTCAAAACCATGAAAAATCTTTGAGATCGTACAACTAAGTCAGGAACCTACACTACAATCAGAATCCTAAAATATGCATTTAATTGTTAAAGTATCTCGTACACATCCACTATTAAATTCTAACCATATGCAATTTTAACAATAAAAATTCAAAGCCGTCCGAATACACAGAAGCTCATAGAACCAACCAACGTCATTGTACAACACTTGAAATTTTGCTACTTCCACTCTGACGTTTAGATGTTCCTAAAGTGCAGATTTGTCCACGATCTACTACAAGGCGACAAAATGTACATAGCCTATACAGTAAAATGGCAAGCTTAAACAATAAAGATCAGAAATTACCACAAAATATAAGACATATGCTAAAGATCAAGAGCTCGAAATTAATTCTTTTCGCAAAAAACCGTATGTCGAAATGCCAGGGTAAAAAAAAAAGTGAGATCGAGAAATCAGATAAAATTATGAAAATGAGAGAATCGGAGCTTACCAGAGAGAGGCGGCCCGGGGGGGGGTGGAATTCGACGGCGGTCCCTCTCTCTCCCCTTCTTCTTCTCCTTCGTTGTAAAGAGAGAAAGAGAGCGTGTATTTAACCGCCGAGTTGCAGATGAACATATGCCTCTCTATCTGTTTATGCAGAAAATGGGAATCTTTTGATTCTATTGAACGATGTCGTTCGGTAATTTAAGATACGGAAACGACGGCGTTTATGACGGATCAAAACAGGTGTGGAATCGGGTCGTGTCTGGTCTGAACTAACGTCTGCGCCTATTGGTTTGTCTCCGAGTTGACCGCTCCATTTTTTTCGTCAACTCAAAAATTTGTAATCTTCCAATCCAATCAAATAAAATTTGCCTTGCTATAAATATAAATGTATATTAATTTCAATTTTATAGCAAATTAGTGGGGTTAATTGCTAATAGACTCTGTTTTGAATAATTAAAACAAGAATAATTATATTATCACCATATTTTTATTTGTTACGTCAAATTTTATTGTACTAGTTACAGCTAAACGTGTATTGCACGTTACTTTGAAATGTTTTATAAACACTGTAAAAATTATATTTGAAAATATCAGTGAATATAAAAAATAATTAAAAAACTGTTGATGTGAAATGAATTTTTTATACAATTCAATTATTTTATTTACATGTATTATAATAATTAACATTATATATATATATATATAT